AGTGATGTTGTTCCTGATGTCCTGCTGCCTCTCCTCCTCCTCTTCCTCTCTCAGGATGAAGATGATCTCCCTGCTGCTCCTCATCCTCAGCTCATGTCTCTGTGGTCAGTCTCCATCTTGTCTTTGTGACAGAAAGCTCTCTAGATGGAGCTGAAAGACTCCCATGTTCCAGTTCTCAGTGTGTCTGCTCCTCTCTTTCCCTCTCTGTCTCCTCAGCAGCAACATTTGTAGTGAATGTGACCCAGAGCAGCTATGAGGCAGAGGAGAACCACAGCATCACTCTGGAGTGGACCTTCACCACCAGGACTCAGGGATCCTACAAATACATAAAGATCATCTGTGACCTGACAGATTTAGTCCTGATTGAAGTAAATAATGGAGTTGAGAATTCAAAGTCTCAGCATGATCAGTTTTCAGGACGAGTCCACATTGACAAAGACGTCCTCAGAGAAGGACGAATCAGACTCCATGTGTCCAGACTGAGGACTGAAGACTCTGGTCTGTATCTGTGTGACGTGAAAACTGAAGATGGATTCAACTCTGGAAGATGTCGACTCAACGTTTCTGGTAAAATCTGTTTTCCTGCTTCTGTTTCTTGCTGACATCCATCTGATTCCAGGTCTGAACTGAAGTTTCTCCTTTTCTCTCCAGCAGCTGCTGATCAGCTTCAACCTCCGACTGAGAATCTACAACCAGACAGTCGAGGAAGAATCGGAGTTCATGTTTCACTGGGACTTTTAGCTCTTACTGTCATTATTTATTTTTTATATCAGTGTTATATTTTTAAAAAGCAAACTAAAAAGGAAATCTGTTTACAATCAGATGTTGAGTTTCTGAGAGAAACAAGAGCTGGACTCTGAAAACACTGATATAAAAGCTAAAAATGGAATAAAAAAATGAAACTATTTATTAAAAGTTTATTATTGGTTAAAGGAATAATGTATAAATATTTTTGTCAGTTTTGATTTTAAAAATGATTTAAGTTTTGTTTAAACCTTCCACTGAAACTTGATCAGTGGAAGGTTTAAACTTTTTTTTTAGTTTTTTATTCTCATTTTGTCTTATAATAGATGTTACAACAGATGTATAGATAATTTTAATAAATGCCATAACATTGTAAATAAGACAACAAACTGAAATGTTTTATGTTTTTTGGTTCCCATTTTTTCTGACATTAACATTTCATCATAAAAATAAGAAACTTCACTAATAAAAATTATTTCAACTTTTTAGGTTGTTATTTTAAGAAAATCGATCAAAACTCTAAAGTTAATTAATCCAGTTCACAGTTTCATCTTTTCTCAGACAATTTTATGTTATTCTAGTTTTCAGTGAAAATCTGTAAAATAATCTAATATTCAAGTTACTGCAGCAGATTTAAACCATCTTTGAAAAAAGAGCCAAATAAAATCATTCCAAGGCCATAAACTGAACCTGAGCCTCAGTTTGGGAAACAATAATCTGCACATAAACACATTTATTGTTTAATCAGATATAAATGGTAGAACATGTCAGAACCAGTAAACAGAATCTGATCTTTTCAGTTCAATTTAATTGTTTAAAGTTTAATTTGCTCAAAGGAACAAAGTCAGTTTTTAAACTCTGCAGCTGAACCTGAAACGTGAAAAACACAACTTATAAATGTGTGTTTTGTCCACATGGTGGCGCTCTAAGCTCTGACTAAAAGCTGCTCAGCAGTGAAAGTTAGTTTTTCTCCTTTCTGTCTTTATTCAGTTCTGATGTGAAAACACAGATTTAAAATGTTTCCTTTAATGAAATGTGTTTATTTCTGATTATTAAATATTGATCTGATCAGTTGATCAGCAGCTTCATCCTGATGCTTCACTCAGTGATCTTCACTTCACTTTACATG